TGACATGGTCAAAAAAAATTTTTAACTGTGGCCATGAAGTAGTATTTCGTGGCCACGCAATAAGTTTAACGTGTACACGAAATACTTATTAATAATATTAATATCATTCCTGGACAACTGGGTAAGCAAATCGAGCGCGCCTTCTCTAAGGTCTAAGGCGCGCTCGATTTACTTACCCAGTCGGTCTCCGCCAGTCACGTGACATTTGTTGCTAAGACGCTATTTTAGCTGGAAAAGGCGTAGTGTAAACAACCGCAGCATAGCTAAACGAAGGACTAAAGGCCCGTTTACATAGCAGCCTGTCCAAGATAAGTAATTACAGTTAACATAAGCCTGAAAACAGGGGCGGATTCATTGATATTATTGATAAGTATTTCGTGCGCACGTTGAACTTATTGCGTGGCCGCGGAATACTACTTCGTGGCCACAATTAAACATTTTTTTGACCATGTCATCAGAGGGGCTCCGTATCTCCCAACCCCAGTTACTGTTGGCTGAAGTAAATTTAGCGGAAAGGGGGGAAAAAGCGGAAATCATTGGTGGGGACTGTCCCCACCATGTCCAAAGTTGGTGGGGACATGTCCACACCAGTCCTTCACACGGGACAGCCTTACATGAACACATCAACAGAATGATTGGCAATTAGAAGTTATTTAGATGACCTACACGGAAGATCGTCCTCTAACTTTCTGAGTTTTGTATCTAATAGTTACAGTGTCAAATTTAATTTTGCATGATCTGGATAAACTATGTATTTTGGTCTGTGGTGAACAACATGTTTGGGTAGTAATTAATTGTCTGGAAGAGACTAATTATTTTGATTGTTTTTAGTTTCTTTAAATACCAACAGGCCATAATGAAAAAATGCCTAAATGAAATACAACTAATGAGTCTATTTTCAATATTTATAAAGTAGAAAGTATAAATATTAGTAAAAACAAAAAAGGAGTAGAATGAAAATAATAATAATAATCAGGTTAAATCTAGATAGATTTCGGCCTGGGCATTTTTCCATCTCCTTAATTTAGTTTGTTGCAAGGATTTTACAGTTTGAAGAAATAGAAAATGACACCATATTTTTTTATTTTTATTTTTATTTCACGGTAGCTGTTATGGAAGTCCCAAATCTCATTGTATCTGTCACAGAATATAATGACAATAAAGGCTTTTTGACTTTTGACTTTTGATGCCAACCTTCACACGGATGTGCATGAAAAGAAAGGGCTAAATATACTGCATGTGTCAATTAGATAGGTAAGATTGCATCACATCTTGAACTCCTTGGTGACTTATATTCACAGGTGGCCGGAGAGGGAGAGTACGGAAGGCCACTGGAAAAAAAAAAGTTAACAGATTTCTTTTATTTTATTTCAGTATAGTATGGGAAAAAGTCAGAATTCTGAGATTAAAGTCAGAATTCTGACAATAAAAAAAGTCAGAATTCTGACTTTTTTTATTGTCAGAATTCAGTCATGTTAAACTGAAATAAAATTTAAAAATCAGTTTACTTTTTTTTTTTCAGTGGCCCTAATCCTCTTCCGTAGGAGAGAAAATGTTGGGGTTGGTATGATTAAAGGAGGGCCGAACCACCGGGCAGATGCCCGGTATCACAGATGACCAGTCCGAGCCTGGATAGCAAGAATTTCTACTTGACTACAGGACCAAAGTGTTGGTAGTTTGTTACTTTTCACCTCTGACTCTCAGGTGTAAATGAAAGCAAGGGACATTAAAATATTCAATCCATTAGGATGGAATATTTTTTAAGCATTCATCAAAGTTCGGTCATTAGAATTTCTCCTCCTATTTTTCTGGCAGATGAAAAAGAAAAAAAAAAACATTTGCAGATATACTTTGAATCTATTTGATTTAATTTCCATTTTAGATACCAAATATGCTGAGAAATGTAGGCCTATAAGAAACAGGATGTCTTTCAGTTTATCCATGTAGACCTGATCTATTTTAAAATCATTCTGAAAGGATAAAACAAAAAGGCATTGAAAATATTTTTTTTATAGATGTTCGCATTTTCGTCTAAGTCGACGAGGTCCAGTTTTTGTGTAAATGTAATTAAAGTTTTTGTCTCCATGGTTTTACAGATGTTGTGGGAACACTGCATCCTGCTTAGCGGACAAACCTTCTCTTTATCCTGTTGTAAGGAAAAAAAATCAGCGCCGCTCTGAAGGGAGGCTTTAATTGGAATTTCATGCGGGCTAAACTGGGGGGGGGGAGCTCATATAAGTTAACATTTGGTCGAATTAATTGGTCCTTTTCTCCCTTTTCACCTCAGTCGAGCCGTTGCTCTCGCAGACGAAGCGCCGCGTTAATCTCCCATTTTAGAATCAATTCAGTCGGACGGACAAAGAGTCCGCCTCGCGCTTTTCTTCTCTTCTTGTCCCAAACGAGCTTCTTTGTGACCCGCAAATTGTCTAAATCCCCCTTCGACAGACCCCCCGGTGGACGAGGCAGTAGAATGAAAAAGTCCTCATGTTGTTGACGGCTGATTGACGCGCGCTCCCACTACTCTAATCTCTACCGCGTGCGCGCGCTTTAAATAACGCTCTGAAACTCGTTTTTTTTTACAGATGTGAGAGAAATTTGTAGAAAGAATGCAGAGAAAAGACCAACCTGTGTGCTTCAGGTTGTTTGCTGTGCCGCTGCTGCCCAGCAGCCTGCGGCCGCCGGGGAGCGACTTCTCTCTGCGCCGCGACGCGTTAATGGCTCCCTGCTCAGGGAGGCTTCATTTCAATTAAACGTTAAGCGAATTGGACTTTGTTTTTGTTTGGGAATGTGCAATATGGCCAGTTTGCTGGTTCATATAACAGAGAAGATGACAGATAGATGAACCAGATAAACTAGAAATGTAGGATTTAAGATTTGGCCCTAAATGACCCGGGTTTGCTTATATTGCTAATGTGAGTCCATGAAATCAACTCTTTATTTGACTCAATTAACTGGAGGATCTGGTGAACTGTAAAGTGACCTGAGATTAAATGTGTTGTGAATTGAAGCTATAGAAATAAACTGATTAGAATCGATTGGAATTAAGCGTCTGAGAGAAGATTATGGATTATTCTCAATCATAAGATATATGATTAGATCACAAACGGGAGGAAATGAACCAATTAGTTGTTTCTTTTAGATGTTTTAATAGAATCTATAGTTTTTCACAGTAATTAATGATTGAAGAATTAAACAATGTAGTTAATATTCTTAATTATTCTATATTCTTTAATCACTGCAGCCCAACGCTGACATGTTTAGATGCTGATTTTATTTTACAGGTGGAAACCAGCAACTGGACTCACATCCGGTCACACACTGGGGCCTTGCCCAAGGGCACTTCAACATGACTCTGAGTCCAACCATTGGTTGATGAGAAATCTGATCATTTCTATCAAGAGCTTAAAATAACTCATTGTGTTTCTCACAAGTCTCCCGATTTTTGGATTTTTTTATTTTTTTACTTCGCACAGTCAGTCTTTACAAGACCTTTAAAAAAAATAACATTACTGAAACATTCTGTTGGTTTTATCTAAGTTTTTATTATTATTATGTTTCTTTTCTCTTTTCTTCCATTTACTCTCCCAACATCTCAAAGAATATCTTTGTATGTTGACAACATTTTAACTCTTCTTATAGATCATAAATCGGTCTAGGAACAGTTTAAATGTGAGGCTGTTGTGCTGCTTGGTCCGGTACGGAAGAGGATTAGGGACACTGGAAAAAAAAAAGTTAACTGATTTTTACATTTTATTTCAGTTTAACATGAGAAAAAAGTCCGAATTTTGACTTTTTTATTGTCAGAATTCAGCCAGAATTCTGAGATTAAAGTCAGAATTCTGACTTTAATCTCAAAATTCTGACTTTTTTTTCTCAGAATTCTAACTTTAATCTCAAAATTCTGACTTTTTTCTCAGAATTCTGACTTTAATCTCAGAATTATCACTGAATTCTGACAATAAAAAAAGTTAGAATTCTGACTTTTTTCTCATGTTAAACTGAAATAAAATAAAATAAATCAGTTAACTTTTTTTTTTTTTTCAGTGGCTCTAATCCTCTTGCATGGCATCTGTCTCCGAAGTAAACACTTATATAAGAGGAGTCAAGATGTCTCCACAAACATGTGCGCCCGGTGAAAGTGCGCAGGGCGTCATCTCCTAATATTGGCCTTGCCGGGTTATTCCAGGCTGGCCTGACGCGCTAATTAGCTGTTAATAGAAAGGGAGCCATTTGGGAGCACGTCACTGCCCTCCGCAGACTGTGCACCGGGATAATATTGTTCTTGGCGACGTGCGCAGAATAACCCAGACTTTATTAACAGGGAGGCCCAGATGACGAGCTGCGGCCTGAGTGCTCCATTATCTCTGGGCTCCGTGTGAGAGACGGCCGCTCCCTCCTCCTGCTTCCGGATCCCCGGGGCCGCTTAGCTGCTTAATGTAATTCGCTTTGAAGGGCTGTGTTATCGCCGATCATTTGCGCCATTATTCCAGAGTCAAGTGTAAATGTAACATTATTAAGATCGTGTCTGTCAATAAATCTTGATGTAAAGTGGATGCAAAGGAGGCCTATATTAGACTCTGCAACTTTTTCCCCTTAACCTCATGGGGGGGGGGGGGTACTGGAACAAATCACCACTTTTAGGGGCGACCACTCATCTGGTAATGCTTTAAGCTCGGTGCTGGCATGGTTAGTACAGGACAACAGAACAGTAAAAGTAAATCCTGATCTTTGATCAAAGTGTTGATTTAAATATGTCAGATCTTAAGGTTGAATTTCAATGTTCAGTTTTATTAAAAATCGAAACAACATGGTTGATACATTTAATTTCATTATAAGTTATTTGTTCACATTCACACATTTTCAGTGAAATACATAACATGGCGATTCATTTTTAAATAGCATATTTTAAACTATTATTTAGAGCCCCATACATTGATCATGCAGAGAGGTGATTTGTCAGAGTGTTTTATCTATATGAGGAAGAATGCTGGGTGAAGTATTCCTAATAAAGCTCCTTTCAGAAGGAACTTCGGTTCATTCATCCCTGCTGTTTTATTACCAATATGGGCTCCTATATTCACTACATGTGAGTTCAGTCTAAGCATGGTGATCAAAGCAGCATCATCATCATCATCCTGATGATGGAGCAGCAGATCTCAGCTCTGCGGCTCCCTCAAGGCCTCAGACACCGCAGAAAAGCCGCTGTCATGTAGTTTCCTGATGTGTTTCTTCAAATCAAAGTTGCGGCAAAAGCCTTTCCCGCAGGTTTCGCAGGTGAACGGTTTCTTGTCATTGTGCGTGTGCATGTGAAATGTCAAGTTGTAGATCTGGTGGAAGGCCTTGTTACAGATGGAGCACTTGTACTGCTTCTCTCCACTATGCGTCAACTTATGGTTCTTGTAGTTCCCTAAAAAACAAACAAGCAGAGCAATGGTGGACTTAGATGAAAGAAAAATGGCCAACAGAAAAAAAAGTGAAGTAGATAATTGTGTATTTGTACTTTTAGTGAAAAAGTTAATTCCTATGAAATCATAGCGTTTTTTGTTAAATGATCAACTTAAACATGGAGCTGAACACTTAAGCACTAAAGGTAATTTGATAGTTATCCCATCAACCCGCTCCTTCCTTTAACATCCAATTGATTTAAATCAGACCAGCGACATCAGCTCAACACCGATGTTCAAATACAACATTTATTTTATTATTTTTATTCATTATTTTATTATTTTTATTCATTCTGGGTTTCTCTTTAGAATAAAACAGACAGAAGGATTTTGAATTACTTGTTAAATGAAGGATCGTTTAGAGACATAGAAAAAAATCAAATATTCTGCAAAACAAAATAATACCTTTGATTTAAAGAAATTACATTTGACACTTTTTTAATTAAAAAAAATGTTTTGCTTTACTAAAAATAAATATCTTTTTTTTCTTTTTTTTTTGTTGTTTCAAGCAATGATCGTGAAATGCTGATTTTTACAGAAAAGAAAATGTAAGAACAGAATTGTGAATAATATCCCTCATTTATTTGAATCTGGGTTTTTTTATTGTAAAGGAAGTGGAGAGGCCTCTGCGCACAGGTCCGTCGTGTCGCTATCTGAGACTTTTTTCTCCTTCATTAATGACATTTTTGTGCGTTAAGGTTCAGAAGTTGTCACATTCGATCAGAATCAAACGCATTGGTAACTCGTTTAAAAAAAAAACGCAACTTTTCCGGAGTTCAAGCAGCTGACCCAGAGCAAATGCTGCCGTCTTCAAGGAAGAATTAGTCCGTGCAAAGTGCCATGTCTGATTTGCGCTGATGGCTTCGGTGAGCCTGGAGATATTTACAGCCATGCGGCTCCGATGTTGCCGCAAACTGGGAGGATTCCTCCGCATAACTGAAACATACTGCAGCGTTCCTGCGCAACAAAAATACCGACGGAGGAAATATCTGACCGCACACAAATTCTTTATTTTCAAAATGCAGAAGTAAGTTCAGCAAGAACAACTTTAAACTAAACGGAATTCAGGCCGTTTGAATCAGACACTCATTTATTTCAGTGAACAGGGGCCCCTGATCCGGGGGCCTTGCGGAAAGTTCCCAAACTGAATTCTTTCCCTTTGTCTTTCCTCCCGGCCGCTGCGCAGTGGCCATGACTTCCAAAAACATTCATTCAGAGCAGAATAACTTGAATTTAGAGAGTTGGAAACACCAAGATTAATATTTATCAACTGAGAATTACTAAAGCATGATTCGCAATAATTTTTACCACTAAATAATTTGAACCCTTAATAGTTGCATATATCTTTTTTCAAGGAAAATCTTGATATTTTCTAGTTTAATTTGTTGCTTTTTAAACATGAACTTTTTAAAGTACAGGTACATTATGGGTTTTAGAAAAAATAATTTTAGAGATTCACATGTAAAAAAATAAATAAATAAAATAGCGTGAAGCTTCTGAGTCGCTTACCTTTCTGATGGAAACCTTTTCCACAGAATTCACACACAAATGGCTTGTACCCAGCGTGGATCCTGACGTGCGTGTTTAGCGTGGAGCTCCTGTTGAACGCCTTGCCGCACTGGTTGCATTTATGAGGCTTCTCCTTGGTGAAAGATGTTGAAGAAAAGCAATGAAACAGCAGCTGGAGATGAAATCAGGAAGGAATGTTTGAGCGCAGACGCGCGCGCGGCTCCTCACCTGCGTGTGGATGATCTTATGCCTGCAGAGCGTGCTGGCCTGTCGGAAGCCCTTGCCGCACACTTTGCACACAAAGGGCCGGGCCCCGGTGTGCACCGGCATGTGTCTGGTCAGGTTATAATGTGCGTTAAATATCTATAGGAAAAATACAAATGATTCTATTAGTTTCTTTGAAATTGCTATTTTTCTTATAAACTGATAAATGTAAGTTTAATATTCTGATACTTTTTTCTTTAAGCTTACCTTTCCACAAACTTCACACGTGAAGTTTTTGTGTTTCCCGTCTGCGCTTCCACTGCCGGAGTTCAGTTTGCTGTGCGTCTTGACGCCGTTTTTCTCTGCAGTCAAAGCCTTGTTCTCCTTCACTAACTGGTCCAGCTGTCCCGGAAGATGTTCCTTATGTGGGAACTGAGGAGTGGGAAGCTTTTCAGCTCCACCGGCCAGTTTGGCGTTCTCCAGCAGCATGAGTTTGTGGTGCGCTGACAGGGAAGCCTGTGGCGTAGAAAACCAGTTTCCGGCCAGCAGGTCTGACTGCTGGTATGCAGAATCCAGGTAATTCAGATAGTAAAGTGAACCCACGCTGGGCACGGCCACGGCCTGGTGAATAACCTGCGGTTTCACCAACCTACTCCCGGGGGTTGGCACCGGCTGTTTCAGCGGAGAATCCGCGCTGGCGCACACCACGCAGCTCCCCTTGCAGGGAGCGGCTGATCCACAGAAGGTTCCTCTAAAGCTGGCTCTCCACAGCTCCGAGTAGCTCATTATCGCCTTGGCCTGGAAGTCGTAGCTGAACGGCTGCAGCGGTATCATGCAGGGGATCGGTGAGCAGAGTCCGAGGAACTTCTTCCCCTCTGCGCGCTCCTCAACGCCGCTTTTCGGCTCCGAGCTCTTGGACATGATCCGGTCGATTGAGAAGGCCAGAGTCTTTGACGTCCCAGAGGACCCAGTCCTACCGCAGGACATCACCGTCTCCAGAGACGCAGAACTGGACATGGTCCTGATGTTGCAGCTGGAAACTTCCCTCTATTTAAGCTACCAAGCTTCAACACATCAGATGAAAACTCACTTTCCTGCCACAGTTTCAGATTTAAATTCACACCCTGTGCAACATCTGCCTCAAGGAGTGAAGGTTGAATCCTGACTGCTCAAAAATAAACACGTGAAAGTTGAGCAGCAAGGAGGGAAAACGCAGGATGAACAGCTGAGTGTTAAAAGCTCCAGGAGATGCAGGACATGAAGCAGAATGTTGGTTAGAGGTTACCTCTTTAATGACAGTGGAGAATCACACGCTGGCTCCGCCCCCTTCCCAGCGCAGACCCTGACATCAGCGGACTCACTGTCTTCACCGGCTGAAAGGGAAACGCCTTCATCAACCTGTCCATCAAATCAGAAAAGTTTAGGGGGGGGGGCAAAGGTTGAAGCAGACAGGAACATCTGATCTTTTTCTTCCAATCCAGCAGGAGGAAACATATTCCAGCTATTCTCAGAGAGGAGCTGCTTTCACTGCTTAACAACAGAATAATCTCTGTTTTTGTGTTCAGGTTGGGATTTTTCTTTCTTCTGAATCAAAGTCCTAATCCTCTGAGATGGGGTTCCTCCTTTTTAATCGCTGGTTTAAATCCCTACTTAGACCAGCCGAGTGTTTGTGTACATTTGGGGACCTCCAGTTTCCACCTGTTTAAGCACAGACGCTCCTTTGGATCCTAAAACACTCAATTGAAAGGAAGCAATTTTCTTCTTCAGTTCAGCACTCTGCGCGCGCACACATATCCGTGTTTCAATACAAAGTGAGGACCTTGAATAGAATTCCAACAAAAGGACCAGTTAACCAGTAAAAGGTTCTCACTGTCCATCCTCACTTTAATATCAAAATGTGCCAAAAAGTTTCCTCATTTTGTAGTTTTAACTAAAGAGCGTGTTTTTTTTCTCCTAAAGATCTAAGGAGGGGGGGGGGAAATTGAACTTAGTGATGTGTATAAAGAGAATAATAGTAAGAGTTTGTTTTTTTGTTTGTTTTTTCACTTTAGTTTTTACCAAGAATACAATAGAATCCACCTAGTTGTTAAAGGAATAGTACACCCAAAACATGATTAGCCTTCATTTTCTACTCACCCCCATGCTGAACAACACTCTGGAGTACTTTTTTGATATCTCAAATGCATCTGGAGATCTGGGAGGCTTCTTGCTGTCTGCTGACATTCAAATAATGGAGGTCTATGGCGCCCGAGGCAGAAAGGCCCATAAAAGTCCACAATAAAACAACAAAGACCTTACCAAAAAGGTGGAGTACTGTTTGGAGCCAGAAGGGCGTATGTACATATACGCCCTTGTGGCTCTGAGTAATACCAGACCCTGCAGTGCATTTCAGAGTCAAAAGGGCGTAACACAAGTGGTGCCCAG